TGTGTGTGTGTGTGTGTGTGTGTGTGTGTGTGTGTGTGTGTGTGTGTTGCACAACTCGTCCGCTGTTTTACCCTCATCACGATGGTGTCTAGGGTTGTTTTCAATCAGCGCCGTATTAAATTACTTTCAGGATCAAGACAACGCACAAGACAAGAAAAAATGACCATAAATCCGGAACATATATTGTTACCACCAACCTTTTAAGATATGCTCCACCGAGTCCAACCTTTCATCTTAAACCATCAATGGGTAAAAAAGTTGAATCTTTTTAATTTTCCAACACAAAGCAACAAAGTCTGTATTTTTTTCAACTTACTTTTTTAGAACTCATATTGTTTCAGTAATTATCTTCCATCTGGTATTATTCCTGGTATTATTTATGGATCAACCTTAACTTTTAGCCTCCCACCTTAGAGACGGATGCATGATTTTGTTCAAAATGTGTGAGCAAATTTGGAAAGATCCATGAATCGTAATTTAAAACAAATTTCCTACATTTCCACACCGCTTCACCTCTTGGATTAAGTCAAGAAACAGCCACCTGCGCTAGTCCAGATTGGTTGGGTACCCTGAAAAGAGCCGACTCTTTGATACGGCACCTTCGGGAATGTCCCATTTCTTCAGCCGAATCCTGTCCGATTAGCGAGCTAACGTTTGTTAGGCTGGTTTTGCAAAGTTGTCATTGACTTGCAAATTGGTTCCGATACAGCTAATTCAATGTTTGGCTGGAATCAGCGTGCCAGGCAGGTTCATTCAACACACGCTAGCCTATCTTCTTCTATGTTCTATTTTCAGTCCATGATGCAATTAGTATCATGTTTCTTACCTTTGTTAACTGTCAAGTATAGATCGATAGTATGTGATTGATAAGCTTATTTCTAAAAAGACAGAAAGTAGGGTAGCAAAACTGTAACTTCCAAAAGTTAAATAATGGGAATGCATTTGCTCTACTTGCTCCATTGCTCAGGAGCCTTTCTGCATTGCTACTAATGTTAAAATATATATAAAATAACAGCCTTACAATAGAACAAATATGTCTCATGGTTTAAGACAGTCTGTCACGGTACTGGGTGGAACAACAAATTGTCCTATGACCTCCTCTTTAAATGTATATCATTTCATAAATGGGTCCTTGTCCTGGATGCACTAAACTGTATTGTTTTCCAGTATTTTGAGCTGGCTGCTTCTCTGTATGGGAGGAGTCTAAAAGAGGGTGACTCGCTTTGTCCCACAGCCACAAATCAGGTCATGGGTCTCTGCGTGGAAGTGTTCCTAAAAACCCACAGGAGCATCTCCTATCACACTGCCAGGTATTGGCACAGGAACAGGAGTGTTGATAGTTTTAAATCAGAAAACGTGTTCAAACTGGAACTGGGGATGGAACTAAATGAAGTGATGTATAGGTGTAGCATGTGCCTGTGGCACGCACACGGTTCCCTCATCGATTTTTTTGCTTAATTTGAATTCATGAAGCAACAGCACCCTACTTACTCTCTGTATTGCCTGTGTATTACTGCACATCTCAAATATCAGAATTTGGGCTCAGATAATAAATCTTCCTTTATCCGACATGATTTTTCCCCTCCAATGTCCCTTTGATCATTTGTCTTCGTTATTTGTGGTATTTATCATATCCTCTACATGTATAAAGCACTTCAATTCCAATTACAACTGAAGGGCAGATCGAGCAGGCCTACTATGTGCAAACACACGTAAACACACACACAAACACACACACACACACACACACACACCTTAATGTGGGTACATTGTGTAAGGTGAACTCAAAACATTTTCTCAAGTACCGTACTTATTGCATAATTCTAGGTATTTGTAGTTTAAATATTTATTTTCTACGTTACTATCAAACTTTTGAAGTGAAAAATAAGTAACTGACCCGGGCCATGGTCTGTCTATTAGTGACTCCTGGTGTAGAGGCTATACATGTGGCACACACAGTTCTCACCGTGTACATGTGTGTATCTGCACACACTGATATCTCCCACAGTGTAAATCCATTAGCAGCAGAGCCTCTGGGCTGAAGGCCGGAGAGCATTTGGATGATAAAGAGATGGAGACACTGTGCCCAGTGGTTTCTATCACTCATCCCTCTCTTCTTCTGCCTCCCATGTGTTTCTTTTGCTCTTTCACCTCTCTCTTCACTGCCCACACGTCTGTGACCATGACCATGGCCACTACTTCTTTCTATCTGCCCATTTTCTCTGCCTCCATGTTTCTTCTCACTAGTCCAGTTTCTTTTCTTTGCTTAACATTCTATATATATATTTTTTTTAAGACCAGTACCTTCGCAGGGATTCTGATAAATGCCTGTCGTCGTCATAAAAGTATGGAGGGAACAAAAACAATCCATAATCATCCTGCAGTTGGCTTCCTAATTCCCCGTTCAGGCGTGTACCTTCTTACGTAAATGTGCTGCTAATTGAACATGTAGGCCTTACGTATGAATACGCCCTGAGTCGCTACTACGTGGTCACAATGAGAATTTCATTAGGTTGGAACTGAATCTTTCGAGAGTAACGCAACGGCTGCTTCCGCACAGAGAGAGATTGGATACGCGTCTCGTTCTGCCTTTTAAGAGCACAAAAAGAAATCTATTCTCATTTTGCTCCAATTGCGTCACAATCAATTTGCAACATTGCTGGCAGTAAAGAGAATGAATCAGTGACGTTCAATACAATATATAAAGGGCTTAAGGGGATGAAGTCTCCATCTCTGCTTCTCTTCATTTGACAGTTACTGTATGTTGTCCTGTCACAAGAAAGAAAGAAAGAAAACTATCTATAGAGCAGCACACTGGAAACATTTCAAGGCTACAAGCTCATTCCGGATGCACATGCAATGCACACACACACAGACACACACGCCTCATGAACCTCTATCATTACTGTAGTAAAACATAATGCCCTGCATGATTGTACAATCTGTAACAACCTTCGGGTTCCTCATTGGTCGAGGACATGTTGATCAAAATGTTGTGGTTGTCATGACAACTGGTTCATGATTTTTTTTTTTCGTGAGTTTTTGGCACCAGTACAGCAATCACTTCCACCATCATCGACAACATTTTTGATTGGACCTTGATTGTCTCCCATTGTGGCTCCCATAATGGTCGGATTCAAATTAAGGCGAGGGTAGTTTTTTTTTTTTTAATTTGCAAAAATGTCTTAATAAGCTTTCAGCATATTGTTATTCAAGTGGTACGCTTGGTAGGCTGTTTTCTGGAAAAGGCAAAAAACACACACAGTCCTTAGTCCCACCAGATGAGCACATGCATGCGCTTCATACAGTAACATGTGCGAGTACTGGTGCAGCTATTCATTTCAAACATCATGCCGATAGTGGTTGTGATATAGATGCGGTCTATCTCTTTTGTGTAAACTTTGGGCCTGTAAAGCCCTTTGAGATG